TGCCAAAATATGTTTTTCATCAGTAGGTTTTGTATGTAAAAACTGCAGGTCAAGCTTAGAAGACTCCGCTTTGAATGCTTTGCTGCTCTTACGAAAACATTTTAAGTGCAATAATAACAACACCGACGAAAAAAGGGGTATGTGTTTTTAACCAGACCCAACTACCAACATGTATTTCGACCCGCTGAATCCGAGATCTGAGATCCGTTTGACTCGTACACCCTCAAAATTTCTAGTAAATTGCGAAAAAATAGCAAAAAATTCTCCATTCGCCATTTCTTTATAGAGTAGAATAAACATGTTTAGATAAATTGTTTTTGTATATTTTTGTTTTATGTTTTTTTATTAATCGTTACTTTCAAAAGTACCTGGTGTTTAAATTATTATTTGTGATGTATACGGAACGTAATCAATCACATGGTTTTTTAAATACAATTAAAAAAATATTTTACTTTAAAATTTGTCTGATTTAATAAATAAATATCGCAAGCGTAGAGTGCAAAGTTGCTAAGTCCCAATGTAAAGATTGTACAGGAGAGGAAAAAACTTCGTATAGCCATTTTCTTCAAGTATTTCGCAAAACTTTGAATACAACATTTTGCCTGTTTAAAGCAAAGCAAAACTCCATGAGAATCAGAGGGATTCGATCTCTATTAAAAGATTTCGAACTTTTTTGGCCTTATCGAATTTTCGAAGTATTTTTGGCCTTATCAAATTTTCCTTTCATTGAATATAAACGAGAAGACATAAAACAAGGACCTTAACCCTTTTCGCAACGATGCAATTTGAATTTATCTAGCCTCCTATATCAAAATATGATTTTTCATTAAAGCCCTGTATGCAGCTCTCAAGAAAACGGTCAAGAAAAAAGAAAATTGCCATGATTTCGTGTGTGTGTCCAAGGAATTTTGACATTTTTGATACTTCACAGCCCGTTGCCTCACTCTTTCCTCAAGAAATAATGCAACGGGCATATATTTCTCTTGCAAACCTGGGTTGCCTTCTGCTCTTTTTTTCACAAAAAACTTTAGAAAACCGTAGTAGAAAGCGTAGTAAATTCCTTAAGAACTGCGTACTGCCTTAAGGAAATTTGACTCGAGAAAATTTCTTAGCCATTTCTTGTACGTCATTTTATATGGAGTTTTTGCTTTTCTTGAGAGCTGCATACAGGCCTTAAAAATGAAGTTGGCAACTTTTCACTCTAAGCTAGCGATATATGAGTTTTACAATCAGTTTATCGTAAGTTTTAAATAATTTTATTTAATGGTATGTTTAAATGCTTTCAGATATTGAAGTTTGACTCATATTCATAAAATTTATGACTGAATTTGAATCCCGGGATCCCGGGATTACCTAAAAAATATCCCGAAATCCCGGGATCCCAATTTTCCTGATATTTTGGCATCCCTAGTACATATGTACTTGCGTACAGATATAACATCCCTGCAAAAATTTGAGGACCGGGTGGTCTACTAGTACGTGGACGTAGTTTTAAAGTATGTGTAAAAGGACCAGGTTGCTTACTAGTAACTTGTTATGCTGACCTGGGCCACTTCAAACGTAAAAACCTGATATATGTATATATATGTGTTGAACATCACCTTTTCGTGGCCCATTGGCAATTTGATTCGGTTGCCATATGTGAATATTATGAAAGCGAATTTTAATAAAATGCTTTTTTCGATAATAGAGTTTACTATTTAAAGTTAAAAATCATCATTGAAAATGAGCAAATATTCGGTTTATAAATTATCTTATGAAGTTTAGTCTATGGTCTAAAAGGAGTAGTTGTCTAGGTGGTCCCATGTTATGCAGCGTTGGACCAGAAATGGTCAGGTCGTTGGTTACACGGTAGCGTGGTCCTTTACTAAAATTTTACCTGGTCCCACTTTTGGCAGGGATACTTCACGCAATGCGAGCTAAATATAAGCGCGCCCATTGGAGGTCCTTTGCACGTGGATTCACATACGACATGTGCCAGTATACATGTGCACGTATGTATGTATGTGTGTATGTATATTTAAGCACAAATACTATAAACATGTTTGCTTGTAAATACGTGGATTTATGCAACTTTTATGTAAAATTCTCTGTGCACTTTTGGTTCGGTTGTCATGTAAAGCTACGTTCACAGGCAACACACATAACAAGAAAGGCACTCCCCCGCAATTCAGCCTTTTAAGTTTACATGAATAAGAATCCCGCTGTGCGAGACGTGTGGGTGGACGAACTGTTTGGGCATTCTAAAGTAAAGTATGTACATAAGTACAAAGGAAAGGAGGAAAATGTGGCCTTACGAGCTATCACAAATACCTGCTTCTGCTATTATCGCCATCCATGTATTTCCTTTACAGTTTTCTGTTGTTAATGCTTCCCACACCTCGGATTTGTTGCTTAACAATTGTTGCACAAAAACACATACATACATATGTATGTATGTATGTACTTGAGTACGTAAGTGTGCTTGAATAACAACGAAAACGGTCAAATGGGTTATAAAATGCGTACCTTTTATGGCTTATTTGGCACAATAATTTCACAGCATCCTTTCGCTACCTGGAACCGTCATCCCAAATGAACGAGTTTGTTTTTATATATGCTCAGTAGCGGATTTGCAGTCTTGTCCGCCCTAGGCTTTTTAGTACCAGTCATCCCTTTCTCTGCTCCCATTATAATGAATAATATTTCAAATCGTCATTTGAATAATTATTCAGGTACTACATACGAATTTACTTTTTTGCCACCTTTTATCGAAAAGTTGTCGCCAGTCTATGCTTTTACCGACATTCTACCTGTTGCTCGCGGAATATAAATGAATGCAAATAAATAAATGAATATAATAAAATGCGGCTTCGAATTTGACAAATAGATGCTGCATATCGATACTTATCTTGTGAGTCTTTTTCAAGGATTTGGAGTATTGTGCATATCTGCTCTGTGGTGGACATTGCATCATTTCACTTAACTTACATAATAACCTCATGTTAGTTAACAGATGGGTGGCAACCCTATTTAAAAACACGTTAAGCTAAAGCTTATGCGTACACCGTTTATGTGATACGCATATTGTGGTATTAAATAAGCTTAAATTTTTAATAATCATTGTTCTATTTTTGGTAGAAAGGTGGCAACCCCGTTCGAAAAATTTTTTTAAATATCTTCAAATGCTTTAAGTTTTGGCGGAAATACTTACATATTTTATTTACCTTTCAATAATTTTAAATTTTCAAATATCTGGCAACCCTATTTTTCAACATTTTTTACCACAAACCTACGGAAACCATCGTGTAGAATGCAAAAAAGAAATAAATACACCCATTGAGCTGTTCGTGCGTGATGTGGTAATGAAAACATGAAATTACGAATTTTTGTATATAACAGATAGGATTTTCGGCTATTAAAACATACTTAGTAAAACTTTTAAGTTAAACAAGCATCATAGTGTTATTTTTTAAGGAGTTTTGAAATCAAAAAATTTTTATTTTTAATGTTTTTATAGCAAGTTTACAAAAAAAATGTATTCTCCCCATGTATAAAACATGGATAACTTAAACCCCTGGCGGTACGGGTAAATATTAATCGATTTCAAAGTAAAAAAAATATGAGTCTCCTTATTTTTGATATTCTTCAGATCTGGCTGGTGGCTGGAGGAAAATTTGGACCACCCTAATGTATATGTACATTACATACTCGTGTTCATCCAGGTGACTACATCGGCCGAAATAGGAATAAAACTTGCAACATGCAACTGAAATAGTCACCCCGATGACTCGTCGGTTAAAATACGGAGTATTCCAGATGCATACCCTGAAATCGTAGTCACAGAAGCGTTTTCATTGGCTGTTACCAAAATTTAATTGTGCGTAGCAGGATCTGTCCACAATCAGATCCTGAAACAGTATACTACTTACGTCAAATAAAAAAAAAGAAAATTGTTTAGCCTGGACGACTGCGGAACAGGCTAAATGGCTTATATTGATTAAACTGCATATAAGCATATGCATGTATGCACATTAGGGTGAACAAAAAAAAAAAAGAGTTTAAAATGTTAAGCTCTCACCACCTGGGATTTTTCTAAATGGAAAAAAGAATACCCGTATTTTGAAAAAAACCCTTTTTTGTAGAAATAGTATTCGATCGAAAACTGTGGTTTTCTTCAGGAGACTGTTACCATTTTTTAACGCTAACAATTTTTATGGGTTCCCCGTCGCCTTTTTTTTGGGTTTTGGGGACCTATCAAAAATAATTAGTATAAAAATATGTTAAATAAACAACTTTGTATTGTTATTGGAAGTCTCCTGAAGAGAAACGGGGTCCCTTGATCGAAAAATATTGATTTTCAAGAATTCCTTAACATTTCTACGAAAGAGTGTTTTCCCCATACATATAAAATACATACATGGGAATCTTCATGTGATTAAGGCGGTTCTAAATATCTTTTTCTTAATAAAAAAATACGATTTTCTTCTTTTCCATTTAGCAAAATTCTAGTGGGAAAACATAACATTTTAAACTTTTTCTCGCCGCATGCATTTTTGTACCACCCTAACGTACATACAACAAAGCATCTCTTCGGCGTTGTAATACAATGGGAATACTTTTGATTACCTAATGTGTGTCCACATATTCTGCAAATACCATTTTACAACCTTTACATTACTTTGCTCTTAATGCGTTAATGGCTACATGAAAAATTCGCGCCGAATGCTACTATTACATTCATTTTGAATAAGAAATGATGCAGACCGCACCCTGGTACGACCAGTGGTCGGTTACTTCTCATCCATTTAAAATTTTTAAATATACACCTGCAGCCATAACCTTTTAGCGCTACCAGTGAGTTCCTGTTTGTCTGTGTGTAGGCTATTAAAGAAAGAGTGTGTGTGTGTATGCAGTTTTAAAACTCATCTAAAATTGAAATTTCCTCATATAAATTTTATTAAACGCGCGACCTTTTTAACGATTCACTGACTTTTCTTTCGTCACCTTTTTTCTTGCAGCCTTCGTGGGTCCTTTTCAACTAAATAAAAGCGAGTCTTCCGTTGCATCACCAAAAGTTGTTCACTGTTATTTTTGTTGAGAAGTAATTCGGTAGTTTTTCTTGCGTTTTTTATTTGTTTTTGTACTCGTATGCCTTCCAATGCGAATAAGGAATACACATACATCGATGGATGATAAGCGAACGATTGGGAAAATGAGTAAAATGCGAAAAATCGCGTTTAATTATGCAGCGACCAAGTTGTGTAAGACCCGAGTGAGGCCGCCAGTTGCCAGCGAAACGGTGAACGACATTGCGTTATTCTTGTTGGTGGTACTTGCCATCATTGTCATTACGTCAACCAAAACAGGTGAGTCTGACATGCTTAATATAGCTACTGATATGCATACAGATGAATATATAAATGTATAGCCATTCGTATAAAAAATGCCAGCACGTCATACATAAATACATCTGAACGCTAGCCTGGACATTTTTTAATATCAGTTTATATAAATGAGGACCAGGCTGGAAAATTTTGACATTTTACTTTGAGAAACCATCTGAAAAATCTGCAGCCAGTCTGAGAATAATAATATTCCTAGTAACAAAGCCCACAAAAAACGTGTCATGTACTTTTGACAGGAATACCCTACTCCCTTATGTTTTTGTGGCCTGATCACGAATCTGAAGTCCATTTTGCTCTTTTCTGAGGTTAAAAATATCCTGCCATGATATGGCAAAACGCACTTCCGATTCGTGTTATGCGCATCAAAATACATAAGGAAAGGTTAGTATGATCCCCGAACCACGACACTTTTTTGGTGGGTATGTGGCTGTTTTCTAGCTTTATTTAGTAAGACTTTTGCATTATTGTTTGAAAACTATGTAGGCATGTTAACAACGTCTTAGCTTGAGTAAGATCCTGTTGTATTTACATACAAGTCTGTGTATGCCCAAATCTTGTGTAAAATTTATACATTTTAGGGCTGCCAGATAGAAAATGTTCTCTGCGTCGCACGGAGGGTTATGACCAGGGTTGCCACTTTGGTAAATTATTACCAAAATTGGTAGAAAAAATTTGGGTTGGTAAAAAGGTAAATTTTTTCTCATTTTGGTAGATTTTTGATGAACTTTCCGTTCCCGATTTATTTTTCGTAGTTATCTTTAAATATATTATGAATTTCTTTGCATACTTTTTATGTACTTACATACATACGTATAAATGTATATCGATATAAGGCGAACATATCGCGCTCTATTTAAAACTAATTTTACTGGAATCCCCAGGAGCTTTTGATTGCTTAAATATTTTAAATGTTTATTTAAATATAAAGAAAAAATTTACAGGTATGTAATTACGCACTATGATTGTTCGCAAAAAAAAAATCAACAACATTTTTTATTAATGGAAAAAAAAAAAAAAAAATCAACGGGAATTTTAAGCAGCACATTGTTGGCTATACTCAAATAGTATTTGCTTTAAAACTCCATACCTTAAATTGGTCTAAAAATTCAGAGTATAAAATTCGAAATTTAGATGATATTTTTTGGAATTTTTACTCGAAAAATATTGCGAATATTAAAAAAAAATAAATTTTTTGAGTCACAGTTTTTGTCTGTAATAACTCGAGTTAAAGTTTTTCAAATAATGAAGTTTCATTGTTGCCTTTAGTTTCATCACTCCCGCTTTTGGTTGAAGGAAACTAAGAATATGCCAATAATACGACTCAAATACCGTACAACTAGTTAAATAAAAAGTTCTTAAAAACAATTTTAATTCTTATTGAAAAAATAAAAAAAAAATAAAAAACTAGTTTTAAATAAAATAAATAAAAAAAAATAAATAAAAAAATAACAAAACTATGGTTTTTGTTAAAATAATTATAAAAAAATTATTGGTAGATATTTCCAAGATTTGGTATATTTTTTTCAAGTGGATGGTAAATATCTTTTTTCGTCAGTGGCAACCCTGGTTATGACCAGGCATGGGCAGAGAACGAGCACACGCTCAAAGAGCGTAATCATCGTGTGTACGTATACAAGCAAGAGCGTAACGATGAGAACGACAACATGCAAAATGAATTAGGCACACTAACACATTCTCACTTTTAGCTAACGCTTCCCTGCAGGGAAACCGCGGACTGGTGCATAAAATTTCTAGTTCCGTACGAGATCTTTATCGCCAAAAACGAACCAGTCCGATAGTAAGTAGATCCCCACCAGTTCAAAATCAGCGAAATGTGGGACTCTTAAAAAAACTATTTTATTTCTCTTTTTTCATTAGAAATCTATATCTAAAGTGACGAATTTAGAACTGGTTCGGAATTATAGAAAACGGGACGCAGAACGAACTAGATCTTATTTGTCGAATTTAGAACTAATTCGGAACTATCGAATAAGGGATGCAGCGGGGGGCTTGTTTACTTTACAAAGATATGTGTTTGGCGGCTTTTTCGTTCAAATGCACTTTCATTCTGCACTTCGCAGAGGCTATTTCGTAGTTTGGTAATACAAAACAAAACTTTGTGTTAACATATTAACATCTTGGGGCCGTCTGGAATCAAACCAATAACAGCGATCACCTCTGCAAAGTCAGCTACAGCCAA